GCTACCGGGCGCCGGTCAAAGTAGCTTTAGCAGAAATAAGCAAAGCGGTCTCTTGAAAAACAAAAACGCCTTGCGACTGTAGGGTATTAACGCGAGGGAGAGGAAGAAGAAAGAAGAAGGGGGAAGAGGTGTGCAATACAAGTGAGCGTTTTTCATACCCCCAGACCAACCTCTGCATCAGTCAACAAAAGTATTTGATTGTACAGTACGATAGATAGGATGAAGAATTAATCTGTCGGTCCAATAGGCTCCGATCAATGTTGGCAGGACCCTCACGGAAGGAGTGGGGATCTAATGATTAGCAAGCGAAGACTGAGGAAGGTGAAATATATTGGAAGGTACCAGTTCAATGCAATTACAGAGCATCACGATTGTCTGAGACTCTTCTTGTAACACCATTTGCCAGAACTCAGTAATCGTTCCATCTAGTGGTCCCTGAAGTGAATGAATGAATAAACGGAACTCAGCCAAAAGAAGGAGTTTAGAATACCAGTGAGGACATTACTGAGATTTTTGATGAAATGGGACATGGGCATCGGATCCAGATCAGGGTTGGGTTGAAAAGTTAGCATAGCAAGCTGTGGTTTCACTCAACACTGTGAGTCTGGAGTGTGAGCAAGACCCTGTTCTTTTGTAAGTATCAGGTCACCCCCATGTAACCTAAGGTTGCAGGGTAACGTTTACCATTTAAGCCATGCCGGCCCTGGAAATATTCAAAACAACTTGCCGTAAATATGTAGTGCGCACATGTGGCGGCGGCGATATGGACCGATGCGGCGAAAATTCTCAAATTCAATCCGATACACCACGAGTGGTTGACTTGCCCTTTTGAACTAGATTCTACCCCCTTCTTCATCGGCAGCCGTGCAATCTCTGAACCATATTGCGACTTTGGTTTTAGCTCCTCCCACCACATTGTATGCCTCACCCACTATAGCTTTTGACCTCCCTGCAGCTCCTCCCTGCTTTTCCCCGGTCTCCAGACTGCCTTCTAAACCGATTCATAAACCTCGTAATGAACCACGCCTGTTTCGGTGCACGTTCCGCCTACCAACAACACTTGACTTTTCTCCCTAGCACCTCGACCCACTTTTTCAAGGTCTCTGTGACTCGTCGAAGCCGAATTATAAGTTTGCAATAAACTCTGCCCTCTTCGCTGCATCGCCCGCATTTGTCGTCGAAGCAATACAGGACGAGTGCCAGGACGTCCCTTATTCTGCAAATTCATAAAAGATAGTCATGGAACTCGACGTCCCCTTTCAGATTCACGCGTCACATAAGTTAAGCAAGCACGGTAGGAACAAGAGTCGCCTAGGAAAATCTGCTTGCCACCAACAAGTTTATATTGAACTCATGAACGCCTAAAATCAATTGCAAACGTAGCTATGAATACGTCTTACTAGGGCAACTACGTATTTTAATCCACTATGAGTTAGTCAGAGGCAGATTTACGATGAAAAGTAGCTCATTGGAAATAAGGGTAGAGGTGGTCAGTGGAGCAGGGATGAAGAAGAAACCATGTGAAACGGCCCGAAACCCGAGAAATGGGACCCCTTCCTTGCCCGTTGATTTCCGCATTGATGCGACTCTCATCGTTGCCCTCTTCAAGCTAACGCTTTCTCTGCTATCTAATCACTCGCCTGTGCGAGTGATTAAATAATCGGCCCAATCGCGCCGAAGGGAAAGCCATGCTAGATCATCTCAGACATATCCTTCGATGCGAATTGCGTGTTGTCCGCACCCTCAGAGGGTCCGCCTGTCTCTCCACTAGGCTAGTTTCCCCTTCTTCGACCTTCGTTCTTATCGTGGAATCCTCCTTTGAAAAGAAATCATGGAATTGTTGAATGACAAAAGAGGAAGGCTGCTTCAGATATTTCGGGAGAACTCTAATCAGACAAAATACAAAAAGGCAAACCACCTGTGTGCAGATGAACCTTTTGTCCGATAAAGGAGTTCCCACGTAATTAGCATGAATGTAGTCGATAGCTGCTCCTGGCCAAGTAATGACAACGCGGCTTTGGTCCTGACACGGAACATCCTGGTATCTGAATACTATGCTATAATATGAGCTAGCACTAGACGAAGTGAGAAAACAGCGCATGCTGCACGTAGTGAATTACATTTTGTGTGGATTTGTTTGGAACAGCTTCATGCTGCGATGATGTTCGGTTTTAGGACGTGAAACGAGGTGGACCTTCATTTTTATCTTGGGGCTGCTCGCC